CCAGCTCTCATCGCCTGTAATAAATCGATCAAGCAGCATGGGATCGTTTTCCACTTGCTCCAAACAGTTGTTGCAGTTGCAGTTGACGAGCACTACGAACATACGTTTACTCAACACGACACAGCAGGCGAACTAAACAAGCTAGAGCGATGGCAAATATATCAATGGAGAGGAGAACGTTGTCGCGAGCAGGGAAAGGGAATTTCAAAGTCTCATTACTTAATTGTCACACCTCGTATAGAACACGAATTAACTAAGCATTAATCGTCTTTAGATCTAATAACTATGTTGCCGAGCTTTAATTTCAAAATACCTAGACTTTCGCTCCGTCGGGAGTGGAGCTTTCATAGGTTTGTCTAACAAGCTTTTTTCACCTAGGAATCCCATCTTAGAAGGAGGAAATCTCTCAACTCAACAATAAACTGCCATAAAACTAGGCTTCGATAGCTTCCAGATTATGGAACAAATCTGTGAAGCTCAATATCAGTAGAAGGCAGATGAATCGAGCACTCCCAAAAAGTAGTTACGAAGTAGTAGTCCGACACATATACAGACATCTCTTTGTTTTAAATGCAAGTGTATCCATTTAGCTCCAAGAAACCAACCAAATAACTAATGAGAAAGCTGCCTCTGACGTAATCGCTTTGGTGATGCAGTAAAGTCACTATAACCTCAAAATCCAAGTGACGAGAGCATATCTCTAGGTATGTATGTATGTTATGAATTCAAAAATATTCATACAAACCAAAGTAGGTTCTGAGGTATGTATACATATATATGTATGTGTGTATATGCACATAAGAATCACCAATCATCCACCCAAAACCCACAGCAGGCACTACTGCCGCAGTTAAATGGTAGCTAATCAACGATACCGTAATTTTTCAAGTAAATAAGGATCAGCACGACAATGAAAGTACATATCAGCTTACTTGCATACATACATACATACATACATACATACATACAAACATATATGCCACATACAACCATTTTGCTGCATTAAAACTCCTCCCCGGAACTGAAACGCACAGCTCTATATGTATGTACGAGTATATGTATGTATGCACATAGATGCTAATTTTTTTTTTTTAAGTATATTCAGCTTTTCACTATGTGGTTGTATATATATGTATGCACATACGTGTACGTATTGTAACGGGCAACCAATACACCAAAATATCACAAAAGTCATTTCAATTTAGTTACGAGTCAGTAAATCAACCCCTATCAACATGCCACATACCAAGTGAAGTGTATACATACATACTGACATACATGCATATGTACAGGTAAGAGTATAAGCGCTCTACTTCATACTCACATTCCGAGAGAGAGAGATAGAGAGAGCGAGAGAGAGAGAGTTAATCCCAATTATACTGTGGTACAAGCGCAGCAATTTTTTAGCAAAAAAATAAAAAATAAAAAGAAACATCCGGTACTCGAACTTGAATCTGATACAGAAAGAAAGCTCTTCCTAGGGTTAAGTCATGAGTTAACTGAGAGGCTCGAAGACCCACCTGCCGATTTGCTATCCATATTTAGCCGAAAATGGCTGGTTTGTGGTTCAATTATTATCCTTCGCTCCTTAAGATCTCACGAAGCTAACCGCGTTTGTTGCCTTTTTGCTCAAGGAACTTATGATATTTTCATCGTATTTTGTATGGGCACGACCGGATCGTTAAGGCTGGCATATAAAAAAATTGGTTAAATACCTGAAACAAACTTGCAGCGTCCTTTTCAAGTTACTCATCGGTCACGACTCCTTGACAACGTCTCGGAAATTGCACATATAAAACCTAACGAGTTAATTTGGTTTATCAATACCACAGGGTGCTTCAGAGCGGCCATGGTGGGGTGAGAGGATTTTAGTATCTATGGTTTCACTGTGAACCTCTTAAAGAGCTCGCTGTTTTGTCAGACATCCATAGTAGCTACCTACTTACCTACAAGCCTGAATGTCTACCTACCAACCTACTAAACAGCTTCGTCGATTAAAATCACCACAGCTAAAAATTTCCAGTGGATGCCAGGAGCTGGACTTCATTGGTTCAAAAATGCGTTTGCCCTCCAATAGGGATATCGGCTCAACTCATATAAATCTATAAGCCGACCGATAAACACTTAAAACACTCAATTGGTAAGCTAGAGATCAAGAAGAAAACCACAAATCGCACCACAACTTGGCCGAAAATGTTTTGAGTAAAAAACTAAAAGCGCAACCTAATTGTAATACTCAAATTTATCGTTATTTTTATATACTTAATTGGTGCAGTCCGGGGTCTTTTCCAGTGGAAGAATATGAACAATGCCAGCCTATTAATACAAAACAGAATCTCTCTTGCCAGACATGAACACTACCAAAAGAGTCCTCTTCTGACGAATGAAGACTACACACTCATTATTCCCATCCTATGAATGATGAGTCGGCTGTGAGACTCATTGAAAAATAGATTTTGCGGAAAATATATGGTCCTCTAAGCTGTATAAGTCATATGGCGGACGACATAGAGAAAGTTCAGTGGGCTAAGGGACAGCGGCTACGCCGGCTGGATCATGTTGACCGGAAGGACAAAACCACTCCATCTCTGCAACCCGAACTAGTCCCGTTATGGTAATATACTTCTCTGACAACGAGCATTCGCTGTTCTTTCTCTGCAAATATCTTTGAATTTTGTTACCTAAATTGCCTCACAGTTGGTTTTGTGTCGTTCCATCGTGGTTTATCAGAGCTTCCATTACTCCAGATAAGTCTCCATCTTTAAATACTAATTTCCTCCGGTTTTTTTTTATTCCATTTCGACCAGCTTTTCCCAGTTTGTCGACGGATCCTATGGTAGTTCCAGTGCGGTCCAATCATGGCTGAATAAGAGATGTGAGCCTGGATTGTTCTAGCCTCAGAGGTGATAATGGTTTCATCTAAAGACATATATCCAACTATCTTCTAAAGTTTCGTTCCATACGGTGGGACACGCTACAGAGTTGTTAACCTTTAACCACGCAGCTTTCGTACTTGAACATGGTGAAACCGATTCCTTCGAATTCCAAAGCGGAATGACAACCATAGATTAACGCACAGCATACACCGCATATGTGAGACGAAGATTGATTCCTTTCTTATGGTAGTAGTATTGTGTTCAGAAATTCTTTGCTAACGGCATCACGACAGAAATGTCTTCATTTGGGCTCCTCAATAGGATCATAACCCCTTTACTTGACCTAATCCGAGTTTTTATATCATTATTTCCTTCACTGTGCTATTTTGCTCTGCGTTGTTCAGACAGTCTGTTGTCTTTTTGAAGCTTTTAGAGCTTTTTAGTTAAAGGAATAACACTTAAAGGTGTGAGACTTGGCTAAAAATCTGCCTAAATGTAGGCAACAATTATATTATATTACCAGAAGTCACCAGAACAATAAAATAAAAGATTTTTTCTTGATCAAAAGCACAATCTAAGCAAGTTAGAATCACTTGAGAGCCTCTGATTTACTCCTTGTCTGAAAAGAGCACAAATCATGAGTTTCAAGAGGCTAAACCTCTGGATAAATTTTTTCATCATATTTGGCTTTTTGTCAAAAATCCCAACAGCCTAGCTAAAGAAAAGTTGTCCATACAAGATGCACAGGCTGTGTGCGCTTTAGTTTCAAGTAGTGTGAAGGCAAGCAGACAACCTCGTGAGTGGTTTCTTTTTATTGCTCTCCCATAATGACCCACTGTGCGGCTACAAGAAGTCTCTTTCGTTCATTGTAATCACATCATCCATTTTGGTCTGCAGAGCAAGCAAGTAAAAAGGGCGTTTTCCGGTTGGACAAACTGATACCGAGGAGATAACGACGATGTGGACGACACCAACAGGCAGCATTCGAAGCGAGTGGGTGTTGAATGTGACGGGGAGTGCGCTCGCTACTTGAGTTCAACGCTGAGGGATGAACTGGCCCAAAATATTATAGCTTTTCAAAGTTTACGACTTTTTTCTCCTTCTTCTTCTTCTTCTTCTTCTTCTTCTTCTTCTTCTTCTTCTTCTTATGCCTTTACTCTCCGTCCATACGCCACAGTTACCACATAATTTTGAACGGAAAAGGTAATAAGCAGCGAAATAAAGGTCGAAAAAGCAAGCTGAGGTCGACGGCGAGCAGCTTCTTGATATTCACACCGCTGCTACTGTCACTGATGCTGCGCAAGTGTGGATGGATGTGTGCTGTTGAGGCGACGGCAACAGCAGCAGCGTAAAAAGTCAGCTTGGTGGTGTGGATGGCAAATGGCGCGACAACCACTTGAGGGGGTGTGAGATTTTTGGCTTTTATATGCCACCCTCAAAGTATGCTTGGCTCTCTACATTTGTTGACTCTGCCGTTGTCCGCAGTGGCCTCCCCTGCTGCTAACTGCCCTTCGCCAAAGTCGACCAGTGCTACGTACTACATAAGTGCATACATATGTATATAGAAGCAACCGATGCTGCAGCAGCCAACCAGCCATTCAGTTGGAGTCAAATTGACTGCGAAAAGGATGCTTGAAGCTTTACAGTTATAATTGACGGTATCTGGAACTCTATTGCAATTTGCAATTCGAAACGTACACAACGTACTGCGTTACAGTGCACGGACGCGGAGCGCATTGACAAATGTAGAGTTGAAAATTTACGGTTTACGGTGTTCTAATGAGAGAAATATTGCTAATAAAGGAGAAAAAAATGTATTTAAAGTGTGTTTAAATAAAAGATACTAAATTTCAATTACTAAATTTATTAAAAAAAGTTTCAAAAGTCAAAAAAAAAAATCTTAAAAAATAGAAAAAAAGTTTAGAAAGAAAAAAAAATGTTTAAAAATCGCATGCGAGAAAAAAATTTACCATTACACGCATTTCAATTTGCTTACTAAATAAACAGTGCGCGGTGTTAAAGTAGTGACTTAAAAACTGATTTATAATTAAATTCATCAAAATATTTGCACACAAATTTGGCACGCTGGATACGTTGGGGTTTAAGTACTTCCATCAACGGAAAATGGGAACAGGTAAACAAAAGGAAAAGTTGCAGTACTCATTGTTAGGGCTAACAGTGCAAAACTGCCGTCGGCTTTTAGAAGATTTAGCTAAAAACATATTAACATTTGGCGTCCTTCCCGAAACATTCATTCGAGCTATGTTGGGTGTTATGAAGCAAAAAAAAGATAAATCAATTAAATATAATTTTCATATATTAAGCTAAGCCGAAGCATCGAATCGATCCCAGGCGCACTTTTCCTGAGATAAAATGTACCCAAGAGCAGCGCAGTTTGTGCGCAAAACTACTAAAGAACCAAAGTTTATGTAAATCAAGCGATAAATACAAATTCTTTGCAAATTCTTCGGTCCCAAAGCGCACTTTCCGAAAGAAAAAGTGTTCCCCCTAACAGTTGAGTCAAAGACTTACCTGTGCATCAAATTTTGTACAAATCAAAGAATTTAAATATGAGTTGGATTTTTTCAAACAGATCGGTGTACAGAAACCCCTTTCTTATCGCGTTCATATACCATAGGCGGTAGGTTCTTTGAACAGTGATTTAAGCTGTGGTTTGAACCGTCAGTCATTTAGGACAATATGGAGATTATGCGGCTGAAAAATCCAAGCCATATACAAGATGTGTTTGGAAAATTATGAAATATTTCTTTTCTTGTTATTTATTCCATCGACTTCATCGATGTTGTGCACCTCAAAACACTCCCCGCCAGAGTTTATGCACTTGTGTCTGTGCTTCTTCCAATTTTTTCAATTGTTCCCCGATGCGCTTTTAATCTACGACTCTTAAATGATGGTCTAGCATTGCGTACTGCCACTCTGATGGCCAGCGCTCGACGCCTGGTTCATCCAATATACAAAATTATAGAAATTTAATTTTTGCAATTGCGGTCACCCCTCAGCAGGGAGTATCAAGCTCCCGGAGTGTATTTCTGACATGAAATTAAGGCTCCCCATATAAAATCATCACCAGTTCGGAGGCGACTTAATATAAATTGTAGGTCCCTCTATATGTTGGAAAATTTTCAAGACGCAAAACCATAAATGGAGGAGGAGTTCGGCGGAAAATCTCTCCGCCGGTTACAAGACGCCATATTATAAAGATATTGCTGAATATTTTTCAGCACTTTTTTCTTTGTTAAGTTGGTAGCACTGTCCTTAATTACTACGCCCCAAAAATGAGCGCTATTGAAATCAGTCGATCTCAATTCCCTCTGCGAATTTTCTTTTACGGCCTCAACCGAGTCGAAACGGGTTCCAGGGAGTGGTAACTCAGTACCCTCTGCGAATTTTCTTTTTGGCCTCAACCGAGTCGAAACGGGTTCCTCGGAGTGGTAACTCAGTAACCTCTGTGAATTTTCTTTGACGGCCTCAACCGAGTCGAAACGGGTTCCATGGAGTGGTAACTCAGTACCCTCTGCGAATTTTCTTTTTGGCCTCAACCGAGTCGAAACGGGTTCCACGGAGTGATAACTCAGTACACTCTGCGAATTTTCGTTTTGGCCTCAACCGCGTCGAAACGGGTTCCACGGAGTGATAGCTGAGTTCCCTCTGCGCATTTTCTTTTTGGCTTTAACCGTAACTGGTGTTTTGGAAGCAAAAACAAGTCGCAAGGTGCCAAAACCGAGTTGAACGAGTTTTTGGTCTTGAAATCGTTCACAACCACAGTTCGGCGCTTTGGCGCATTATCGTCATGAAAGTTTCCGAATATTTTTAGACCCTCAATTTGGGCCGCTTACGACGGATTTTTTCGCGCAAACGCCTTAAAACGCCCGAATAATACCCTTTATTTGCCGTCTGGCGCGTTGGAATGAATTCATTATGAACCAAAACGCGAATATCGAAAAAAACAATTTCCGGAAAACTTCTGTTCTGAATGTATGAGCCAGTCGTCTGTAAGCCATCGTGTAAAAAATGCAAAAAACCGCTCGTAGCTGCTTCGCGAATTATAGATTCCTCATTTCCCAAAAGAAATTTCTGTTTCAACAGCTGTCTGTAGGCTGTCGCTTCGGCTATGTGTCATTCATGAGCGTCAGCAATGTAAAGAAGCCAATTTTTTCTTCAATTGTTATTGTAGTAACTGAACTCATTATATGAGCCTCATCTCCTGGTTTGACGATAAATAACAAAAACTCAGAAATCCAAAACGATTCTTTAGAACTTCCCTAGAGCGCGAAGAGTCATGCTCCCTAGTTTGGAATCCATTGATCCAAGCCTACCTCCATTTAAAAAAAAAGGAACGTCAGTTGTTGGTTATAGTTAGAAATGAGCTTGCGAATCCCACAATTGTGGGCTGGTGCAGCTGATAAAATTCGTAACTTTGCGAAACGACAGTTCGTATCGATAAGAGTGAGTGAAGTCCATTACAGTTGGCTCATCCCTGAACAAAATTTAGCTCGAAAACGTTGAATCTTCTTGGAACTTTTCAAGACCCCATAAAGCGAAGCGATGTCGCTTGGGAAGGTCGAGCGGCTATTGTTCTTGCACAGGCTGTATTTTGCAAGCTTTCAATTCAAGATTTCAACGTGAAGCTCGCCAAGTTGTTCTAGACGAGTGGCTGCGAAAGTCGCTGAATCGACCATTCACGGTCTTCGTGTACACTCTCAACTATATTTTCTTTACTTCGTGCTGGACGTGGTCGATTCGGTCGAATATTATGCAATAATGAATGCTGGGTCTCAAAATGGATGATGGTGTTACGACTAGTACATTCTCAGTAAGCCAATTATGCTGACCATAAGTACCTCTACTTGGATCACCCGTTAAATTTCAGTAAGTCTGCAACGTCGTTGACTTCGTTTAGTGATTCCTGAGCAATTTCTGTTCGCCGTGGTTTTTGTTAAAAACTCTTTTACTTCATCGTTCGCTAATACGCTGTGGACCCTGGTCACGGTTCGTCATCTTTAATGACCTTCCTTGAAAAGCTTATTCCTTTTTTCTTTATTTATTATGAAACTACCAGATTGGACTGGAATTACTCGTTTCTCCTGGGCAGCTCGTGCTCTTGAAGAGTGAGCAAGAAGGTGTTAACAGACTCACAGTCAATGTTGTCTAAAGCCTGTTGGTTCTTGTGCCTAATACCGAATGGAATCTTTGCAGCCGAGCAGCACCTTACGGATGTGCTGGTTTTTAGTAAATGTCAGCTGATAGCTCCCTACGCTAGAATCCCTGCCGAAATCGCTTGGACTTGGCATTTAGGAGTATAATGCTCTTGCGATATCAGCAGGTTTCCTGTCACGGTCCTTGAGCAAGCTTGCAGCTTCTTCAGCTGCGTATCGCTAGGTCACAGCATTCAGTTCGGAGTAGCTTAGCTTACCACCAGCTGGTCAATGCCTTTCATGTCCCCAGCAAGGCTTATTTGGCATTTCCAAAGATGCTGCCGGCTAAAGCTTTGAGGATTTTGCTGCGGATCTGTACTTTTGTACCATTTACAGTCGTATTCGTAGTGAAGAAATGTACGGAATTCGAATGTTTGGCTCGGAACTTTATCGCTATGCCGACTACTGAGCTGTTTGCCAAAATCTCAGCGGCAATGAGGAGTCCTCAATGCTTGATAGTAGTACTGACTGATACAGTACTACTATAATGGCTCCCACGCAAAGCCGGGGCCTCAGGTACGATTGTGGTGCTGTCCACATTTCGAAAGCTATGCTAATTTACTGCTCATCTAAGATGATGTGTTAAGGACGGGAGCATAAAGGCCTCATTGTCTTCGACACCGAGAACAGAGAGATATCGAGAGAAATATATGGTCGGGCTTGCATCCTTGATCCTCTACCTGATAGTGCGCATTGCTAATCACTCGGTTTTGGCGGCCTTCGTTTTAGGTAATGAGCAAATAAACTTAAAACCATTTTCGAAATTCACCCACTGACTTTTTTTAAATATAAAAACTCAAGTCTAAACATTTCATTTTCGAAATTCACCGACTGACTTTTTTTAAATATTAAATCTAGACTCTAAACATCTCATTTTCGAAATTCACCTACTGACTTTTTTTAAATATTCAATCTCAACTCTAAAAACCTCATTTTCGAAATTCACCTACTGACTTTTTTAAATATTAAATTTCAACTCTAAACTATTCTTTTTCGAAATTCAACTACTGACTTTTTTAAATATTAAATCTAGACTCGAAACACCTCATTTTCGAAATTCAACTACTGACTTTTTTTTAAATATTCAATCTCAACTCTAAACACTTCATTTTCGAAATTCACCCACTGACTTTTTTAAATATTAAATCTCAAGTCTAAACATTTCATTTTCGAAATTCACTTACTGACTTTTTTTAAATATTAAATCTCAACTCTAAGCTCTTCATTTTCGAAATACACCCACCGACTTTTGTCAAATATTAAATCTAGACTCTAAACACCTCATTTTCGAAATTCACACTGACTTTTTTTAAATATTCAATCTCAATTCTAAAAACCTCATTTTCGAAATTCACCTACTGACTTTTTTAAATATTAAATTTCAACTCTAAACTATTCTTTTTCGAAATTCAACTACTGACTTTTTTTTAAATATTCAATCTCAACTCTAAACTATTCATTTTCGAAATTCACCTACTGACTTTTTTGAATGTTAATTCTCAACTCTAAACACTTCATTTTCGAAATTCACCCACCCACTTTTTTAAATATTAAATCTAGATTCGAAACATCTCATTTTCGAAATTCACCTACTGACTTTTTTAAATATTAAATCTAAACACCTCATTTTCGAAATTCACCCACCGACTTTTTTTAAATATTAAATCTAGACTATAAGCACCTCATTTTCGAAATTCACCTACGGACTTTTTTAAATATTAAATCTAGACTCTAAACACCTCATTTTCGAAATTCACCTACTGACTTTTTTAAATATCAAATCTCAACTCTAAACACCTCATTTTCGAAATTCAACTACTGACTTATTTTAAATATTAAATCTCAACTCTAATCTATTTATTTTCGAAATTCACCCACCGACTTTTTTAAATATTAAATCTAGACTCGAAACATTTCATTTTCGAAATTCACCGATTGACTTTTTTTAAATATTAAATCTCAACGCTAAACACTTCAACTCGTGTGAGAAATCCTTCGAATACAATTCCCAGAAGACCAGCTTAAGTAAACAATTAAATTATGCGCCGAGCGTATGTTAATTCCACTGCACAGTGTTTCATAATGCATTTTTCCAAAAAAAAAAAAAGAAAAAAAAAAGGACACACACACACACACAAACATACAACCAATCACTGGAATTGGCTAGCAAAACCTATTGCTGAGGACGAATGAAATCTCAAAAGAATAACAAAAACAGATATTTTTAAAATAAACTTTAAATTATTAAAATAATATTAACGCATGTTGCAACAGCAATAACAAAAGCAAAAAGCCCACACAACGCACAATGAGAAAATCTACAATGCAACAAGCGAGCACATACAACAAGGGAAGTGGAAAAAATTGTCAACAAAAATATTTTTAAAACAACCCCTAAGGTGGCCGCCGACGGCAAAGCAAATCGCACGCCTCCTGCCGCTGCTGCTGCTGCTGGTGTTGGTGGTGTTGGTGTTGGTGGTGGCGCTGCTCTGTTTAAAGGGTGTGAAAATTGGCAACACGTGCTGCCACAGTTGGAAAATAATAAACACTCACCATAAAGGAAGAAGGACCTTGTAAATATGTATCAAAAATAATATATAAACAATGGCAATATGTCAAATGTCCTTGTATGATCCTTTACTACACAAAAAGCTATACAAAATACTTATATACACTCTCTCTCCCTCTGTTCATACTTTCCTCCGGCGCTAATCATTGCATAACCTTTATTTTTGTTAGTATTTTGACAAGTGTCGTTTGTTTATCGAAGAACACCGTTATTGAATATATGAAACCCAACGCTACGAGCTTGCTCCGTCCAATGAGTGAGGTAAACTAGGAAAATTACGATACACGACGCAGAGAAGGCGTAGGAGACATTATAGAGCGAGGAAAGAGCGGCAGAGAGGTAAAGAGAGAGAGAGAGAGGTTGTTAGCTATCTGCTAAAATGAGGTGCAAAAATTAAGTCACGAAAAAAGGGTTTACCTCGTTTTGTTCTTCCAAGTTTGGTTTGTTGTGTTGTGTGTAGTCAGTTGAGTTGTGCGTGCTCAATTTTCGGTTTGTGTTGGTCAGAGAGTCACGTTGGAAAATTCTAAAATAAACAATTGTATAAAAGTCGTTGCGCATTTGTTTACTTAACTTGAGCTCTTACCTCGTCGTACGTCGTACTCGTTCTGCCTAGACAGCTCAGCAGTTGTTTAGCTTATTGTGTTTTGGTTTCACATAAGGATACTCACCTCCCGCTTTTAACTTATCTCCTTTGTTTCATTTACTCGTGAGTCACCTTATTTGCTATCTTTTATACCGCTAATACCTGCTAAGCTCTCTCCCTCTTACTCTCTCTCTCCCCCTCTCTCTCTCTCTCTCTATGACTGTCTCTAAATCTCATATTTGTCTAGCGTTTATGCCGGATTTCGCCTTTGTTTGTCTTATTTTCACGTACGTGTTTTGTGCCTTTTATTTATCTTATGTTTTTAATGTAAATTATTTATTTTTAGGTGATCGCCTGCTGGACATACCGTGTAAGGTCTGTGGTGACCGTAGTTCTGGCAAACATTATGGCATCTATAGTTGTGATGGTGAGTAAGAAGTATTATATTTAGAAGACTAAAAAAGACTTATACTGTACTGCATGCCCATGGAAGGTAATGAAAGTACTCCTTCCTATGGAAGGTAGAGAGTAATGTGTATAATACTCCTTTACTTCTTGAGCGCACTCCCGTGGAAGGCGGAAGGTAATATATATGTATTGCACTTGTTTGCTTCTTCGGTTCATTTTCCATGAAGGCAGAGAGAAGTTAATATAATATTTTATTGCTCCCTTGATTTATAATCTAGAAAAGCAATGTAACTTTTTAACGCTTCTCATATCTTTCCCGTTCCCATGGAAGGCGGAAAGAAATTAGTATTAGCTTTTATTGCTCCGAAAACACATTCCCATAGTACTTTGCGCATTCGCTGCTAGATCTCGTTCCCGTGGAAGGCAACTAGTAATGTGTAAAATACTCCTCAGATTCTACGACTCATTTCCCAATAAGGCAGAGCGAAATTAATATAATATATATATACTGCTCGTTGAATTCATTGCCACTCTCTTGCTCATTTAATTCATTACTTGGAAGGCTAAGAGTAATGCAAGGAATTTTCTTTTACTTCACGAACTAAGTTCGAAAAGGAATTGGTTTAAAACTTTATTTTGCTTCCAGAATTCCTTTCCATGAAATGCTGTGATAAATGAGTATTTGTATTAAGCATATATTTTTTCTTTTCATTCTACAGCTCATTACGCAGGAAAGCAGAGCGAAATTATTAAAATTTTATATTCCTTCTTGAATTCATTGCCACTCTCTTGCTTAATTCATTGCTTAAATTATAATAACTCATATAATTCCCTCGCCGCCCCGATCTCTTTCATCTTCGCATGGCAGGCAAACAAGAGCTAGTATTAAATGTTTTGAGTGATTCCAGAACTCATTCCCATGGAATACAGCTAGAAATAAGTACATTGTGCTTTAACTGTTCGAACTCCATCCTGTAATATCCTTTTTTGACCCGGCTTAATGTCAAGACAGGCGCGGAGTAATGAGTATAATATTCTTTCTGTTAATTTGCGCACAAGATTTAACAGATTAATCCGAGTGTGATCCCTTATAGTGTTGGCTGGGGTAAAGTAGTCATTGTGTAGCATCTCAATGAGTTTAGTGATGTTTAAGTGGAACTTAACTTGTATTCCTCATAAATATATCTACTAGACCTCAAACAACGAAGCTGCCAGAGTTTAAAATGTGCTCTAGATGAGGACAAGCATAAACAGTATAGGTGTTCCAATATCCCACTCATGCCTGACGGCCCACACTTTCTACTGGTACCACAACCATTTCGGTTCGCTTATGCCGCCAGTAAATTGTGGCGTGGTATTGACTCTGCAACTGTTTTGTAGTTCTTTCGAGATCGCGTATATAAAAAGTGGTTGTACTTTCCTTCGCTGCCATTGCACATGATATTGGCGGCCTTGCATGCTCTTAAGGTATTCCATAGCATCCTTGGCCATTTTTCAGCTTACTCAGAAATTTCTTAGAATAGCAAATGATCAGTATATGAAGGTTCGTTCGCCAGAGCGATGACTCTTTTGGCAATATTATTAACTTTTTAGGCCTCCACAGTGAGAATACAGCAGATATGCAATACCCTCCATGCAGCCACCTTCTCTGGATACCCTGTTTCCGGATACGAGTCGTACAATATGGTATTATTGCTTGAACAATTTCAGCGGCTTTTCATGCCAGGAAGGCATCCAACTGAAAAATACCATACTAATTCGGACAGTTGCCTGAGATCTGGGCCTGTTTAAAAGATTTCATATTTTTCGGCGCCCACGGCATACGCTGCTTTTGGTCCGTCTCTATATATGTTGCCGGTACTGCAGGCAGCGGAGAATTTGAACAAACGTTACAATTTCTTTCCACTCAGTTATGGCATATTGCACCCGGAACGGAGCGTTCTGTACAGCTTAGGTCGTAAACTTTTGATTGTTCCTTGAAATTCATTTGCCTTAAGGCGCAGGGAGACTGAATCCGTGGTCGACTCAAACATTGAATACCCCTCTTTTTTCGCCGCCTGAGGGCCAAGCCTTTTTCCAAGCTATAGACATTACTGTATCTAAGAGCTGCCGGCGAGTAGCTGCTTGTCTATTGTTATTTCTTCACGGGAGTATTAACTTCAACTTAACTTTTTCGCAAATGGCTGAACGAAAGGCGTCGAGGCGGAAGTCTTCTGATGAGAACTACACGTCGACGAAGCGCAGGCTTTGAGACCGCTGTGTGTTTAGCAGAGGAAGTTAGCTGCTTTTAAGACAGCTGTTGATAGACTGTTTCGGAGAGTAGGGCAGGCTAACATTAGCTCAATTATCCAAGCGGATATTTCGGCCCTGAACTAACTCCTGGTGAACTACAAAATTTATGAACGACTGTGGCGCCAATTAACTTAAAAAAAAATAAAAATAAAAAATATGAGCGCTGAGAAGTGCGAAAGAGCTAAGTTTGTACGAATGGCTACCTCGCTTCGTTAAGGGCGGACAAAGTTCTTATAGGTAGGTGCTACTCTGCCAAAATGCGGGCGGCTGCTGAGTGGATGACCACCTGAGCAGCTCCACACGTTCAGTTGTGATTTGCTTCTAGACCAACTTGGTTCAGCTAAAATCAGTAAATCTCTCTCCGATTGGTACACACACGATTCGACTCTTGGTTAAACTCGAAAAAGGGTGTTAAGGAGGAGCCAAGAAGTTGTGCGTTACCAATAAGACATCAAGAGCTAAAAGTAGCACATTTTATGCCAAAATATTATATTTTTTATTAACACTTTTTTTCACTGTTAAATTAATTATTCTCAAAACTTCCTCCCACCCCACAGGCTGTTCCGGTTTCTTCAAACGCAGCATACATCGCAATCGCATTTACACCTGCAAGGCGACCGGTGATCTGAAGGGTCGCTGTCCCGTCGACAAAACCCATCGCAATCAGTGTCGTGCCTGCCGGCTGGCGAAATGTTTTCAATCGGCTATGAATAAAGATGGTGAGTACAAAAACAGATGGGAAAATGCCCCCCAATGCGAAACCGAATCAAAAACACCAAAAGTAACTCATTAAGATTTGTGAAAAGGAAAACAGCGGGAAAGGCAGAAAATTAGCAGCAAATCGCTGTTGGCAGCATTTTTCACTTTATTGTTTATTTTCCTTGCTAATCTCATGTAATTAAACGGTAATTTAGTATTTAAATGAAATATCCTGTGTCATTATTATTTTGATAGGCTGTTGAAGAGCTCTGCTGAGCTTTTTTTGTAAATAAATAATTTCGAATTTGCAAATGTAGAAAATTACACTGACCGAAGCCGGAAAAATAAGATTTTGAGTTGTAGTTCCCGACCCTGTATATAGATTAGTTGCTGTACTTGAGGCGATCTAAGTTCTAAGATTGCCTTAGTAAGATCTGGCATTACCAAGAAGAAAAGATGATATTTTCAGCACGATGGTCGAAGAACTGAACCTCCCTGACGAGATATCCCTTAATGGGTTGAAGCTAATCGGGCGTCAATTTGCCGCAGCCTGTATATATAATTGTCTTGTTGGTCACAACCGCATCGGCCACGATAGTCGGACGGCATATCTTCAACGTGCTAGATATGTGTACGCTCAAATGACCTGTCATTGGCTCGCAAAGAAAAGTACGAACGTCGAAAATCTGCAATACAACAAGCAGCTTGAGCATTTTATACTCAACTTGGGCTCTTGCTTACTGTATAAGAGCCATTTAAGCTGTCCACGTGCGGCCACTGCAGGAACAATTGGTTTTCGAAAAAGGCAAAAAAAGAGCACTATCCTGTCTCAGTGAAGAGGAATAGGACGAAACGCATTTGCGTACAAAAGAAGCGAGACGCCAGAGATGCCCAACAGCTTTTAAGCTCAAACACTCTATGAAATTGCCGAACCGGAACCTTTTCCTATAGGAAGGAGATATGGCATCTTCTGACTGACATTCAGATTATATTGGGCTTATGGAAAGAAAACTTCTATAGCTTACTGAACCGTTCAATGAATCGAACGACGAACAAACCAAGAACTAAAAAACTCACTACTTTATTCCTACACCATCAACAATATTAGCCTTCAACTTTGAATCACACTTGCCAACAGCTGCTACCTCCGATTAAAAGTAAAGTTCACTCTCCGCAAACAAAGATCAAACTCTATAAAATCTTCTTCACTCGCCTCCTCCTTTGTGGAGCAGAAGTCCAGACCATGTCGACATCTGTTGAGGCGGGATTATGCGTTTTCCTGGTCAAGATTTTGCGCTAGTTTCATGGTTAAGTGGGTTTTGGCAATGGCGATTACTAAAGACGATGAAACGATGAGCTCCCGAGGTTTTCGATGGCATTGGCAAAGTTCAAGAGACAGCAGCTACGTCATGTTTTCACTCCAGCGAGAATAGGAGGATAGCAGAGGTGGCTAAAGACTCCCACTTGGCTGGAAGGATCAGGTTGAAAACCCCCTCTTTTACTTGGTGCCTCCTATCGGCGCCAAACAACGAATCGAAGGAACAACTAGCGCCCCACTGTTGAGTCGCCTGCGATCTTCTCTAACTCTAACTCTAACTAAGAAAACGTAACTCTAGTGAAGTTTTCTTCAGACTTTTGCCCATTTTCTGCGGCTTTTGCCTTTTCGTTTTAACCAAAAAAATAGCCTTAAGCAAAAATCTCCTTCGAGTTATTCCCAAGCAAGAATATTTTTTGTGTTTTTAAGCAAGGCAATGAGTTCAAAAGGAAATCGCTAATTTTCAAAGAAGCATAACTCAAAAATTACCATTTTTCAGGGCTCATGAAAATTTTTATAGGAATTAATGAAAAGAAAATATTAAGAGAAAAAAGTTATGAAACGAAATAAGAAAAGTGTCCATCAGATGTGTTCGGGAAATGTTAATTTCCGAAATAATGATTATTCGAAAAATTTTTTGGAAATAAATTGTCTTCGAAAAAATTAAAATAATAAAATAACATTGAAATATATTCGAAAAACAACGTTGAAATATGTTCGAAAAAACTAGAGTCGAAAAATAACGTTGAATTATGTTCGAAAAAGTTAAAATAGCATTGAATTATGCTTGAAAAACATTGTTGAAATATGTTTGAAAAAATTAAAATCGAAAAATAACGTTAAAATATGTTCAAAAATATTAAAATCGAAAAATAACGTTAAAACATGTTCGAAAAAATTAAAATCGAAGCATTGAATTATGCTTGAAAAACATTGTTGAAATATGTTTGAAAAAATTAAAATCGAAAAATAACGTTAAAATATGTTCGAAAAATTAAAGTCGAAAAATAACGTTAAAATATGTTCAAAAAAATTTATATCACAAAATGATGTTGAATTACGTTCGAAAAAACTAAAACCGAAAAAAACGTTGAAATGTGTTCGAAAAAATTAAAATAAAAAAATCACATTGGAATATGTTCGAAAAATTAAAGTCGCAAAATAACGTTAAAATATGTTCGAAAAAATTAAAATCGAAAAATAACGTTGAATTATGTTCGAAAAATGACCTTACATATGTTCAAAAATATTTAAATCACAAAATGGCGTTGAATTATGTTCGAAAAGGAAAACTAAATTAAAAAAAATAGTCCGGAATGGAAAAATGCACGAAAAGAGTTTAAAACTTTTGTTAAAATATAATTTAATTTTTTTAATGAAATTAACACAAACAAATTTCATAAGATTTATTTATTAATTTTTTTATTTTCGCCGCTGAATTGCTGACAACTAACAGGCAATAAAGGACTTTTTTCTAATTTTGCAATAACAAATATGAGTTGGTATTTTACATATTGCTTGCCAATTTGTGGCCATAATAAATTTCTTACAAAATCTCAAAATTTAAATTTTTTGAGTTATGTCATATTTGTGAGCAACTGGTGTTTAGACTTATGTCACCGCAATATATTTGTAAGGAAAAAATTCTTAGTGTGAGTATGTGTTTATTTATGCCGCAAAAACCAGTAAATAACAAAACAAAAAAAAACAACAACAAAAATGTGTGAAAAATTGCCTTGAAGTGTCAAAAATAGCAAAACATATGAGCAATAAAACTAAAAAAAATAACAGTAGAAAAAAAAATAGAAATAGCAACATAAAACGTTGGCAAAAGAACGCAGACTAACTCCGTACGCAACAACAAATTCCAGCAAACTAGAGAAGACGATACACACATCTACGCTTATGTGCATATGTATGTATGTATGTATGGATGTATGAGTTTTAGCTTGTTTTTTTTTCTTGTTTTTGGCGCTTTTAACCGTCGCCGCCTCAGCTATTGTTGTAAGCGAGAAGCATACTTCTAGTTGTTGCTTGTCTTTTGTTATTGTTTCTCTTTGGTATTAGATGTGTTGTTGTTTGTTTTTGTTTTCGTTACTGGCATAAATTCTTTTCTTATTTTACATTTTTTATTTTTTTTTTGGTTTTGTGGGCGGACTTTCACAGCTTTGTGGCACATTTATGAAGGTGTGTGGAGTGTAGTTGTTGGTTTGAAAAGTAAACTTGCTGAAAATGGCGAGTCAAGGTATTTGTTGTGCGAAAATATGTACGTAAATGTGTGCAAGTATGTGTTTGAATGTAGATATGAGAGGTGACAAAGTTCAAAATTTTCTATTGATGAACTTTTTGAACGATTCTTAACAGAGATAGTATTCAACTCGACACCTGAGGCGGGGCTGCGTCGAAGACCGAGGTGATCAAAGTGTCCTAGCGGTTCGTTAATCGCCTTGGACTTGTAAGAGAAGTCCTCGGTGATATCCACAGACTAATTCGGCAAAGCGGCTAAAGCAAAAACTTGCAAAAAAGCATTGCTTCGCACAGAGGGTTAGCAAGTAGCAGAGGTGTCCGTGACTTTGTTTTCTTAGCTTCATTAATGATTATATCTGTTTAACTACATTTCATGTAGTTTCCTTTCACCAACCTTGGCTCGGCAGTCCCACCTAAGCGGATATTCGGACGAAAACAGTGGTATGTCCATATCGTATGTAGAATTTACTGTGGTGGAGGTGAACTCAAAGTTCCTCTAATGTTACCTGGCTGACCTAAACGGGGTTAGGTCGCCGTCAGAGTGGTAGCTCTTGACCGGAGAAAATCCGAAACTACTCCGGTGCGTAGAAGCCGGTTCTCTTTCGTGAGAGTTGAAAGTTCCCCGAAATGGCTCTTTGAACTGTAACAAATTTTGAGGCGTTCGCAACAAAAGCAAAAGGGAATTGGGAAATGCAAAGAGATAGGGGTTGTATATCAATCCTAGTTTTGATTAGTAGGACTATTTGAGTCTGAGGTGTCCAAAAAAGCTGGAGTTCTTATGTAAAAGAAGCAACATCGGAGTTTGAATACATATGAATATCTTAAATATTTCAAGCCTCTCATCTTCTGAGAATATGCGGGTACGGCTCAATGTTCTGTAGTAATCCTGACTTGCTCCTGCGGTGTGGAGCCCTACCGCAACCGACTGCAACCTTTCCCTTTCTCTTTTTTCTCAGTAAGTGTCCAAATCACCAGATCCATAACAATCCAGCATCGGAGCCTTGCGCGGAGGTCATCCCAAAAATATTTTGAAACCTCGTCTACTGAGCCGAAAGGCCCTACGCTACCTACTCATTCAAACCCTCTTCGCTATACCCACCGCAAAAATGCTAGAAGATACAAGAGGCACAGAGCTTCAGCAGTTTCCGATGCAAGAAGGCTGTCCAAACTGCGAGATCCTTTAGCGAGGTCACCAAAGAACACCTCACACTAGATATGATAGGCAGTGGCCCCTCGGATGGCTACATTTTCCATGATAACAGGAAAAATGTACCGACGGTTTGGGCAGGGTAACAAGAGATACCCGGTAAAAGTTATGTGATGTGTGGTGGGTTAGCAAAAAACAAACAGTTTTTTTTTACATAATCTAGTCAGGCTCGAACCCTTCATCTCCCGCATCGAAGCACACACTGCTTCCTTTTAAATTGGGGACCACTTGCATGTTAGGTGGCCGCAATA